TTTATTTATTTCTTTTTTTTCTTTTTTTTCTTTTGCATGAGACATGTACCCCCTCCCCGGATTTCAATGGTGTATTTTTAATAATTATAAAGGTCGTGTAAAGTAAGGCAGAATTACAAATGATGCAATGAACAACATCAATGTTATTGATTATATGACCTTTTTGAATCGAATCTTGTAGCCCAGTGAATGTATTATCTGCTCTGACTTGGGGTACATTGCCATTCATTATATCGAAATACAATGAAATGAAAAGAGGATTAAATTTATCTTGAAGTCATTCAACTTTGCTCAAGGATAATTTATTTTCAAGACCAACATTAACGTTCCTACATAGTTGCGTCAATTGAATGTTGTCAAAATTCTGTGAATTCATTAGTTCTAGCGAATTATTTGGGAAAGGAAATTTTTGAAAATTTTGTTTAAACTAAACCACATATTGACGTTCCCTATCCACCACAAAAACATTTTTTTATTGAAATATCACTCCCTGAATGGCATCTTTTATAAAAGGATAAATAATTTCCAAGTTTGTATCATAAATTGCTTGCCCCATAGATTTACCCTTAAAGATCTTTTTATCTGGTTTCACTTAAATCTTTTTTATTTTGAGGAAGATTGTTTTGTTAAAAAAGCAAAGAACAATCTTTACAAATGCAATATGTCAAAAGTGAACAGAAGCATGCGAACTGTCGACACACATTACATTTGTTAGTTGGATGCAAATATGTAAGGGTGGTGAAAGTTTTTCTTATGCTTTCCTTAAAGTTTTAGGAAAAGGGTATAAGAATTGTTTTAATTAAGTAATTCTAAATGAATTCATTTGATGTTTTTGATTGATTTTCTTTTAGTTTCCTAATTTAGAATTGGGTTTTTGAATTAAGAGTTTGTTTATTTTTTAAAGAAATCCGAGTTAACCTTTAGATATTTGTTCTGGCTTCTTCATTCAGGCTGATGAAAAAAACTATCTAAACCAGTTGTTTATAAAACAAAATACAGGGTTCAATACTTTATGTGTATTTAGAGTTCCTCCCACTCGTATTCTCTTGTGTTGACCTGTTCTGGCTTTAGATACGACACTTACAAATTCGGTGGCTTATCAACAGAATAAATAAAATTTTCACTGATGACATTGTCGGCAAGCTTTGCCTTCCCTAAGTCTAAATGTCCTAGACTTGGCATCAAATCTTTGTCTACGTACTATGATTGCAAACATAACAAAAAGAAGCATTTGCAATGATATGAATAGAATAAAAACCATTTCATGACTTAATGTTAATTTATCCATTAGATCAATCATAATCAAACACGTTTTGTAAACAATATAATTAATATTATAAACTATAAGGAAAATAATTTCTTTCTAAAAAAAATATTGGTTTTTTAATGATTTAAATCATCAGCGGAGTTGTTTCTAGAAAGAGTTAAACAGTGCAAAATTTTGTAATTTTGTCTCTTATCATTTTCATGAAAAGTCTTTAAAAATATTTATTTATGTATAAAACAGATTCCTTGGAAAGTCCAGATTACCTCGGGTCCCTAGGAAGGCAATGTATCCCCTGTCAACCAGTCACACTCGCCTTGAGCCATTATGATATGAACATGTACTAATCAGGTAAACAGAGTAATCTGATATCAAATTTGGTATAATACAACGGCCTACATGTATCAATTAGTATGTAAAGAAAAATACAGTAACTAACAACATAGGTTCTCTGAATTTCCTATACAATAAAGCAATGTTTAAAAGTTTTATTGTAAAATAAACTCTGGTTTCATTTTAGCTTTTAACTATTTCATTGAGTTACTAAGTACATTTTAAATTTCACATCCTCAAAACCGAATATTGCAAGTAATTAAAAATTTCTGTTTCTCATTTATTGCACAAGCAAGCTTAAAGTATAAATAATGAATATTTAAGCTAAAAAGAATTATAATGAAGTTTTTTAATATTCTTTACTAAAAATATATTGTGTATTTAAAAATATCACAAATCTCCATGCTAATATCGATATGGCAAGTCTTTATTTACATGGAATTAAGCGATAAACTAGAGGATTAGGTATAGACTTTCTATCTATTCTGTTAAATAAAGCCAGATAATTCAAACCAGTTCACTTGTACTGAAATATATTGAATTTAAAGATTGTAAAGTTTCTTTTAAAAACTTCCATATCATACAATTTGAAAGATCCTTAAAAATATAGATAAATAAATATGACTTGCAATCGAAAAAGAAAAGGTAAAACAAAAAAGGAACAATAATCGATCTCAAAAATATGTACAAATAATTCAAATCTGTGAACAGGGCATAAAACACTGACCAATGGAAATTCCAGAGGTAAGATCAGGAACATAGAAAAATTCATACCCTTTTTACAGGTCACAACCGCCGTAAGCCATATACCGGGGTATGCTGATGAGGCAGCCTGAAGTCTAATAAAGTGCTAAAAAGACCTTATAATCGATATAAAACATGTCCCTCAAAACACGATCGATTTTATTCATTAATAGCGTCGTTTTGTCGATCACAGAGCTAACGATATGCTGATTCTGTGTGGAGTTATTTCAATCCTTGTAACATCAACTTATTTGTCAAAAGTCTGCTTCAGTTTAAACTTTGATCGTACTCAGAGTAGGTTCTTGAGTGTCTTGACGATGGAAAAGCTAAAGTCGTCCTGTTTTGCGTACAATTTAATAGTTAGTTGTCAATCATCGTCTATAGTCAGTAAAACATTCAAATATGAAACAGATTTGGCAGACTTTGTGTTGACTTCTTGTTTATTTGTATATGTATGATAGTTGTCCATGATGTCAAAAATGACTTTTAGTTGTGAGGAAAGACTGTATAAAGCGTTGAAAAAATCAAACCTTTTGATATACCACAAAAATTGCTTTTTGATTTTTTAAAGAGTGTTTGTGGATTTTAAAATATTTGTTATAGCACATTTTGTAGCACAATGTGTCTGAAGTTTCTCTTTCACAGAAGCTCATATTTTTATCGGCTTTAAAAAAAGAGGTTTGGTTGCACATTAATTGGCTTCTTCATTATCATTTTCTTTGTAAGGACCTTTCTGATTTTTTTCAGTCGAGGATAGGCTCGGAAAAACAATATCACATTCAGTAGATGTAACGTAAGAAGGAATTTAAAATCAAAGTGTGATTTGAAAAATTTAATAATTTGAATGGAATGGATGATTAATTTTTATGATATGCATTATAAATAAACATAACTTAAATTTAATTTGAAGATCTTTATTCGAAAGGGGACTGCTAGAAGTAGTTAAAATAAGGGGGGAAATGGAATTGATTCATGTTTCTTTTTTCTTGTAAAATTTAATTGTCTGTGATAATAAGCCTGCAATACGAATAATCTACATTGCTATACGTCTAGCCAGCTGGTACTATAATAACCTTGTGTATTTATGTACTCTTACTAACTGCGTAGCCTAATGATTATAACTTACAAGAAAAATAAGTTTTTAAAAGGACATTTTTCTTCTCTTTCAAGTATAATCCGTCGATTCTTTTTATGGTTTATATGTAAAAATATATGTTTTAAAACTATTTTTGTAATTAAAAAAAGAAGTATAATGGTTTAAATTGCGTTACTATTTGAATAAAAATACGAAATCCAGATGGATTCGAATTTGATATTGTTGATTTTTTTTCAAATTTCAGAAGATTTTTATGTATATTAATAAAACAAACAACAAAAAACATCCAAAACAATATACGAATTTAAATTAATCTTTGTAAATGCATTGCATAAAAATATCACGATTTAACATTAATTAAAACATAAAAAATAATAATAATTGACCTGTATACCGGGTATATCTTTGTAAGCGAATATATGTTTTGTTTTATTTGCAACGTTTACATGGTAGGAACCTTGAATAAAATTATATGGACATACCTGGTCATAAGTTTCAATATATTCAATTTTAAATCGAAAAAGCCAATCCGGCAATCTTATATAAAACGTTTTTAGCGTTTAAACATTGCTGTGGTTTGCTTCAATATTTGATTGTTGGATAGGATTAGATTTATAGCCGCGCAATTGATCTCCAGTCTGTATCACATGTTGTCGCGTTACCTCATAAAACTTGTTATATTATCTCTCGACGCGTTCAAGAAGTGCAATCGGTGCAATCACAAGTTTAAATACACTCAAAATCATTTTTAAATAGAAAAAGAAGGCAACCTTTTAGTAACTAATGACAATTTTAAAAACGAAGTCGAGTTTGTTTCATGAAACTAAAGATATATATCTATATATAATCAGAAATAAACAAAAATGATTAGATGCATAAACATTGGGAAACACCCAGTTTAATACATCGGCTAAAGATAACCGCTTTTAAATGAATTACTGGTCCCTTAATCCCTTTCAATATAGGCATCGTAAATCTTTAAATCTTTCTACTCCCCCGCAATATTTGGAATACCTCGTCGAAGGACGAATAAAATCCTTGGTGGGGGATAACAGTAGTATCAATGTATTATATAAAATTTGGTTCCTTTCTATTTCTGGCAGCTACTTTGGTTCTTTCGACTCTGGAATTAATAGAAATTTATTGTAATATTGAATTTTGATTCATTTGATATTATATTATTTAATCATGTCTGATAAGAGGAATCGATCTGAAACATAATAAAGAGCAAATCGTTTAATGTATTTGTTCTCCAATGCAAATTAGACAGGCTATCGTAGGCTCCACCTACTTCACCAAATAAGGTCATTCCAACCAAAAATGTCTTCTTGTGAGTATAAATAGAGAATATTGTGAATATAACTAAATTCAACTTGTGAACTCCACAGATCGGGCAAATTATTAATTACAAGAAAGTGATGAAATCTTGGAAATTGACACTCATTATTATTGCTTGCATGCAGCTTGCTGTAATGTCAAAATCCTGGAAAAAACTGAAAGCTATCAAAAGACATGAGGGTTTCAGAATTTCTTGCTGCTTTATTGATATTTTTTGTTCTGAAGTCTGTATCGCAAGAGGAGACAGACCAACCTACAAAAGAAGTGTGAAGGACAACAAATCTAAATTACAAGAAACAAAGATAAGTGAACAAGTTCCAAATCAAAAGAAATATTTGCTGAACTTAATGAAAGATGCCAAGGAATTTCGTCGTGTTTGGAAAAAATGGTGTGTATTGTATACTTAACATCTTTACTAATTACTTTTCCAACTGAGGTTAATAAAAAAGAGTTTTGTACTTCATTTCAGATGAATTTTTTATTTCAATATTTAAATATCAAAAGCAGTGTTTCATAAATTTCATTTTTTTTTTATTGAAAACGAAATAATCGTATTTTTACAATTTCGCCTTATGATGCAATATAGATTGAATATCACTTCGTTTAAGTCATGGTTAAAAATACCCAATAATGTCCTAAAAAGATAGTATCCTTAGATAATAATCTTAAATAATCTTTTTCATGTTATGTTCAAATAATTTGCTGTTTAATAGAATGTTATTTGTGTGCGTCTTGTAGGTAATTTTTTCAATAAAATATATACTAGTATCACAAAATACAAATATCTCTTAAAATCTGTATTACACTAATATTTACAACATGTTAAATTCAATTATATTTTTATTGGATAATCTTTAAATCTACTTATAACAAGTAGGAATATTCCCTCCTCTGTCTATCTTACTGTAAAAGATAACGATTGTTAACTTTATGTCATTGCTCATGACACGCTCATTAAGATTTTTGATTTTGAATTTTTAAAAAAGAAATCACATGATTAAAGTTACAGTTTAAAGATGTTATTCATATGTCTGAGTATCAAGTATCAAATGGATACATTCCAATGATATAGAATAATAAAATGATGTATTTTTTCCAGTTAATTATGTTTTGTTAATTGATGCATTTATTACTGAAAGAATTTGTAAGAAGCTGAAAATTTAAAAATACTCTACATAATTTATATTTCATTTATCCCTAATAAATTTGCTTTGTGTAAAAAAAAAAACACGCCTTTGCTATTTATCACAACATATATCTTTTCCAATATAATAACGTTATCAAAATATCCCAAAAAAAGTTTCACTTGAAACAATATATTATAAATTAATTTTTATCAATATGAAGACATATCTCCATTTATCCTGATGCTAACTGCGGAAATATTGCCGATGTTGGAATTGAAGAGTTCTAATGATAAATATTAATTCAGCAAAAACCTGTCTGTCAGCGTTAAAAATTATAGAAAATTCAAAACTTATTTTTACTTTGGTTTTTTTTTTATTTATTTACATGTACATGTATCTATTTTGGTTAGATTTAATACAAATTATTATCGGGAATGGAAAGGATTTGCAGGAAGTTTCTAAATTCTTCTTAGAATGGCATGAATGTTTAATTCAATGCCTCCCTATTCTCTTGAATGAAAACCAATGAAGTGACGAAATGAATTTTAATTTCTACGTCAAACCACACAAGATTCTTACGTGTATTTCTGCTTTATGTATTCAATCTTGCAATGAAATCGATGTGCTCTCATAATAATAGCAAACAAATGATGAAAGGAAAATTATTGTCTCTCACTCAAGAAGGATATAAACACGATTTATTGAATTTCGGATTAACTAATGACTTTGTTGAAGTAACCCTAACTGAAAAGATGTTAACCTCTCAGAGTGTCCATAAAGCGACATTCCAGGGCGTACAAGCCGTTTACTCAATAACCCTTCAAATAGTCAGTCTTTGTTGACATAGTGGACAAATTCTCGTCATCACCCCCGCACATCGTAACCTTGGCATTTATTAAGGGAATCTTTATTTACCTGCCACATTTGTAAATGAAATTGACATTTCACCCGTAGCAGCAAATGACTGTTTGCGTCTTTTTTACATCAAATTCAGAAGTTACTCTACGAAACCAGTTAAATGTGTTTACTTGATAAGATTTTCATTTCACCTTAAGTGATATTATGTTTCCGATGACATTTTAAATTCAAGTTTGACTTTCTTTTTTTTAAGGTTGGGACGTTTTGCAGTGAGATAATGCAAAGAAGAAGTAGTATCATAGCTTCTAAAGAAGGTTATAACGCCTACAGTTTATAAGCTTGTAACGCCAGTCTTGTGAACCTGTGCCAAAGAGAGTGTGCTACTCTTCAAAATGTCCTCCAACGTGTTCTTCAAAAGTGATGTTGAAAGCCTGTTCGACTTTCGTTACTATGCTTGGCGCTTTAAATCTTTAATTTATTATTGTGTTATGTTGTTTGTTGCTGTACATTTTTTATTTTAGAAAAATATTTGTACAGAAATTTGTCGAGCTGGCTCGACATTTTTATGATATTTGAGTATTCCGCTGTTGAGCAGTATTTTTCTTACCAAAGTTCCTACTTTTATACCTTTTGTTGAAACAAATAAATGATATGAAACAAACGGAAGGATTTTTTATATTTTCCTCTTAGAAGATTGGGTTTTTACAAGAAAAATGGCAAGTTCTATGCAAAAGAAACTTACCGTACTTGCATCTACTTTATCAATGTTTTAAAATCTTATTCTAATTTTAAAGTAGGTATAATTAAAAAGACATCACAGACCCTGCTATATCTCTTTCATATTTGGATGTTAACTGACCACAGAAGATAATATGATCATCAAACAAACGGAATTACTTCAAGCAGCTTTTCAAGTACCAGCTCTACTTATTTATGTTTTTAAGCCAGTTTTGAAAATAAGCCACCTATTTCTTGCATTGACAATTACTCGAAAATAAGCCTGTTTTGAAAAGAAGCCAGTCATGATAATGTCATTTAGGTAAAATTTAGGTGTTTCTTTTTTCAAAGCTCAACCCTAAGCTTAAATTTTCTATTTTAACTTTTTCTTGGAGTAGGAGTACGTCTAGCAGTCGTCATTGCTAAAAGCTCACTGTTTAAAAAAGGGAATTAAAGACAATGGAGCACTTAACTCTTACAGAAGTTTACCTGGATATTTTATTTTTAAAAACTGTGAAACAAGTAGTTCTCAAAATATCAATTACGATTTATTGTATTGATAAGAAGTCGTGATTATGCTCTCGTCGCTCACCAGTTTTTTTGTACTGATAATAAGCCGCGATCTGAAAGTAAGACGGTTTTGAAAATTAGCCCCCACTTTCTTACCAAAACTAAAAATAAGTCGCGGCTTATTTTCAAGGTTTTAGGGTATGGAGATAACGAACAGTATTCAAGCTCAGAATTCAATTAAACAATACAAAATAGGAGTAGAGCAAACACGGACTGTCGAAACATCATAGATGGGATCGGGACCCATTGGGGAGTGTGCATTTCCTCTTAACAATTGGTATGACATATGTATCTTATTTTATGTCTTCCGACTAATTTCATACATATTTTGATAACAATTCAATCAAAAATAAGACAGGAATCTGTCGAAGAAAATCGTTTCGTAGTGATTTCAATTGCGTTTCAAGTCAGCATTTTGCAAATTCAGTTCGTTATAATGACTCATTTGCAAATGCCACTTATCGTTCAGACGGATTTTGTCTGATATATTTCAGTTGTTAGGACATAGTTTTATACCGAAATTGATTACTCCTCCTCGTGCATCTGATCTCACCTCTGAAATTTCCGGGGTCCGTATTTGTGTCCTTTGGACAGATTTGTTTTGTATAAAGTTTTTATAAGATCGATCACTTTTCGGTATCTTCACCTTTTTTTCATTATATGAAAAATTTGTCTAAGAATTACTGTGTTTGTCTGATCGAATGGCCGACGGAAAGTGTGAAAGGTTGACAAGGGATGCTTTAGGGACACCAAAGTTTTACCAATGTCCTTTTTGCAAAGTACATGTACGTCTTCAGTCTATTCAATGCGAAAGGGTCTGGAAATCCCTTAAATGAGTTACATGTACAACATGCTCTCTTTCTTTGTGTTAATCATTAAAGGCTAAAAGTTTTTAATGATTGGTTGTGGAGATCTGAGACCTAAGATCAGCTACAATGTTATTCTCGAGTTTTGACCAAGAAGAATAATCAAATTTACTTAGGTTTTAATTATTTGTTTTCCATCGTTGACGTCATTTTGCATTTTTTAAAAATATAATTTATTATTACAAAGATGTTGAATAAACCCTCTAGAAACTTATTCGGCCCTCTTGGTCTCTCTACATGAAATCGAGAGATAACGAACAGTATTCAGCCTCAGAATCAATTTCAACAATACAAATTGGGAGCAGATCTAGAGCAAGCAAGGACCTCTTAAAATAGAGGCGGGTTCAGATTGCATTGAGTAGTAACAATTGCATGCAGACCTTTAACACATGCAGAGTGCTCAATGTCATGATCGGATAACACGGAAAAAAAACTTCGGTTTTTAAATAAGTATTAAAAACGTCAGTCAGAATTTGACCTAATATAGATTGTATTTGCTGATTAGGTCATTGTGCTATTGACCTTGGAACTTGCGAAATGATGACTTCAAAAGGGTTGATACCCTTGTTGAATCAACTTGATGGCTAATAACTTGTCTCGTTTTAAAAGAAATTATTACATCAAATCAACTGGAGGACTTTTACCATTTATTCAGGTAATACGATTATATTGCTACATAGGAAAGGGAGGTAGACGATTTCTACATGTAAATTGTATTTAATTCTGAATTAAATTTGCAAATATTTAATTTAACAGCTTTGCAAAATGTGTAATTCATAAAATGAAATAAATGTCGTACTTATATTTTTATTTTCATACTAATGCAAACATTGGAAACTGCCATCATGTTTAATAATCCTTGAACAAAGAAGAAAAAATTCTTTAATTTCTCTGCAGCACTCATATAAAATGTACATCTCATGATAAATTTATCTTAAATGATAAAAATAATGAATTAGTAGGCTCTTTTAATATCTTATTTTTTTTTAATTACTTCAATTTCTAAATGAAACATATGGAAATAACAAATAGTATCGTTTGGTTGAAAAATATTAGCAGTTTTGTTTAATCATAAAAAATACTTTACAATCATATTTTTTCATGGGGTCAAATTTTTTTGATCTTAGGGGAAAAATATGGGTTCATGATGATTTCATTTCGTGGATGATGAATTGTTGAGTAGTATTATATGTGAACAATTACATTTCGTGGTGGACATAAGATCGTGGGTCTCTTTGTATCTCGAAAGCTGCCAAAATTAAACCCCATTGAAAATGTGTGATTTCACAATAGGTGCAAAAAAGAAAACAAAAAAAATTCACATACATGTTCTTGTGAAATTTTGTTAAAATAACTGTTGTCACTCACACAATTTTAGTAACAGTTTCAATGTACTCGCTTAATTACTTTTCAGAGCATCCGGCTATTGAGGTTATGTCACTGTAACGATAACATATGTTACTATTTCATTTTCATGCAAGTAATTATCTAATTCTTTTAACACCGTGTGCACTGGTAAAAAATCTATCTAAAATCTATAAAAGGTATTTTCTACGATAAATTATGAAGACAAAGGCACTCAAAATAACTGATGGTTTTTATGCAACGCATGAACAACGGAAAGGCCATTCCAAGTTTTTTTCTTTGTTTAGCGTTCAACCTCAATTCGAAAACCTTTCTTACTACAAAAAAAAAGCTGGGAAAAAAAAAACACATTTTAAACACAATTTTAGAATTTCTCACCATTATTTGTGATTACTCCTCTCAATGTAACTAAATTAATCTAATAGTTTCTTGAAACAAAAAAATTTGAACACTGCTTCAAATAAAAAGAAATGTCGATCCCGAGATAAATCTGCGTTTCAAAGATTTTATTTGTCTATTCAAATTGTATTTGCAAGTTTTTAATTCAATAAACTCGAAACCAATCCGTCCGCGGACACTTAACAAATGGAGAAGTGAGCATCCCCTACCGACCAATAACACCCGCCGTGTGCTCCTTGTCATGTTCAGTAGAGAAAAAGGGAAAAATTCGTGGACAAATCAGTGTGTAAATAATGGCCTTACAATCAGTTTGAAAAAAATCAGTTAGCATTTACCTTAATGATAAATTTCATTTGCTGACAAGATCATTAATTGTATAGACCATAGATCTTATTAATTGATGACGTTAAAGGGACTGCTGATATTGTTGCTTCAACTTGTTTATCAATAACTAAATAACTTACCTCATTTTAGAAATTGTTCATACATAGAACATGCTATTCCATATCGAATTGACTGAGCGAGATAAACTTCGTATGCAGTCGACAAACGTTTTGTATAAATAAGGGAAGTTGACGGTAGAAAAGTCAAAGTCATCAAGTTTATCACAAAGATTTGTTGTTAGATAACAATTAATACTTTTTTCTAGTTAAAGATCCAAATATGAAACAGATGTTGCAGACTCGGTGGTATCTTTTGTTTCAAGCTCACCGGAATATATCGTATCGATAATGGGGAAAAAACTCTTAATGTCCAGTTGAAGACGACAGCAAGTGTTTTCTTCTTTTCACGTAAAAGATTCTGAACAAATTTTGCTTCATTGAATACAAGAATGAGCCTGATAATAGCGCATGTAATTTTGCATTTAAAAATGAAATAACTGAACTTTAAACTTACGTATCTATTGTATTACTTATTTTCGAGTGAGTACAGATCTGATAAATAAATGAATAATAAAAACATAAACGTTTATCATCAGTATTTTTGAATTGAATAAAATTATGGCCTTATCTACATCTATTCAATATAAAAAAGATTTCTTGACGAAATGTTATTTTAGGTCTATATGAGAGAAAATGTGATGGTTTGAATTACTGCATTTTGCTTGCAAAGTTATATATACATTCAGTGTCAGTTTCTAATTTGGATGTCATTAGAAAAGTACCAGAGTTACACAACTTTTTTAAATCTGTTGAAAAAGAGATTACTGCTTTAAAAAGCAGTGTATTGCTCAAGAAGTAATTTAGATAATTTTAATGAAATTTGGCAACCAATATTAGATGTATTATAATCATTATCGTAGAATTTATTGCATTTTTTTATATACTATGCTATCAAATTAAGTGTTCAAATCAAAATGTAATTTCCCCTGTAATATATCTCTTTGTAAAAACAATGAACAGTTAATTTGTGTAAAATTATGTAGATAGTAAGCTCCACAACAATTTTTAATGATTATAAATCAGAAACATTGTCTTGTAAGATGAAGATAGTTGTTATTGTCTATAGTTAAATTTGTTGCATGGTTTTCTTTATAATTTTATAACATAAGTATATGATGAAAGAGCCAATAAAAAATAAAAATAATAATAATAATAATAAAAATTATGAC